GGAAGCGCCTTACGGAGACAGGGGTTTTCCGTGAAGTCTCGGAGGAACTTCTCGCACTCCTCCTCCATGTTGCCGCTGCTTTTGCAGGAGCACCAGGGCGAGATGGTGATGCTGGTGGTGCTGGCGTCGACGTAGTTGGGCGTCATGTCAAAGCCTGCTCCCGGGCGAGGAGAAGGAAGAGGGATGAGGTGCCGCGGTGGGAGAGACCCTTCACCATCCCGACCCCCCCGGCACTCACCGATGAGCCCCGCGTAGGAGCCCAGGCACGCCTGGTAGTTGTCCCCGGGGCAGCTCGTCAGGGACTGGAAGGAGGCTTGGCAATTGGTGTGGAAATCAGCCAGCCGGGACCTGGGTGCCAAGAGCAAGAGGGAGCGGGATGGGATTCCACCGCCGCTCCCAGCACGGAGCCATTCAGCAGCAAGGAGCGACATTTTCACAAAGGAAAGGCGAGGAAAGAGGATAAGTGGGGTAGTGAGAGGAGATCGAAATGAGATCTAGGCTCAGGAGGTGCAGCTTCTGCCTCGCCTCCGGTCGCCCCAGCCTGCCAGAGGGTCAAGGACAAAGGAGGGGTGCCCGCCTGCGGGTGGGTACCCCACTGGGGACGAGCCCCCGAGCGTGGGACCCTCGTGCCTCCCTCCTTTGCCGCTCCCCACCTCCCCAGCCCTTCCCAAGCGCTGTCTCGACTGGCAGAGCACACCATAAACTTCACAACCTCATTTGGCCGCGCTGCTCCCGGCGTCATTACGCGACTGTAAAATTTCACTGCTTGTTTTTATCTTCCCTCTGAAATGTTAAAGCTTAGAGTGCAATTAAAATGCCTGAGGTTGGGGTTTACATTTTCTTTTCTTCTTTTGAAGCTGAGAAAGGGAAAAAAAAAACCAAAAGGAAGCCTCGCAGAGACCCCGGGGGGCTGAGATGCTCGTGCCCTGCCTGCCCTCCTCCTCAATCCCTGCCTGCCCTCTTGCCAGACTCAGCTCTGGGGGGCAGAGCAAAGGCAGAAAGAGCAGAGATGGAGAGAAACAGCAGGACCAGGAGGAATAAAGAAGGGACAAGAGGAGCAGAGGAGCTGATTTCCACTCCTAACTCGATTACTGGCTTGGTTACCCCTTCTCATCTTCCCTCACCGCCCGGCATAATGCAGAGAAAAAGCACAAGGAGCGAGGGCAGCACGGTTATTTCCAGGTGTATCAGTAACCCGGCTCTGCTGACACAAACCCACGCTCTGGGGATTTTTCTTGGGATGAACTGAATCACCGAGGTAGGAGGATAAAGAAACGGGCAGGATGCAGACGAGGACGGACAGACGGATGGGCTGCCGTTCTCCAAACGGACTCCGTCATTAAATGAACGGACGCGGGGCTGAGTTGTGGCCCACGCTGGATCTCAGTCACTCAGGGAGGAATCGCTGCGAAGCAGCCAAGTTGCTGATGCTGTAGATGAGACCTGGCATTTCACAACAGAAAAGTTCCTCAGCTCTTTTTTTTTTCCACACTTCATATAGAAAGAAGGCGGCATACATTATCTTCCTTTAGCTTCCTTTTCTTTCCGTCTTAATTAAATGTCATCTTTGTCCAACCAGTGATGGAATCATCCAACGGTACCTGCCTAAAGCCATAAGAACGGATGAAAATAAAGGGTAAAAATTGTGGTGATATTTGGGTTTTTTTTTTTTAATAGGAATGATGCATTTTCAGAAAGTTTCGATCAAATTAATGGAGGAACAAATGAAGCAGTGACCGAACGAAGTAAAAGGGACCTGCAGTGATACCTTACAGCCACCCAGCACTTTTCACCCCACCAGATCTCGAGTGCACAAAGGGAGAGAGCGGGGCAGGCACCACCGAAACTCGGGGAGGAGCAGAGATGCTGCTGCTGAGCCTGCAGGCAGAAGGCGACTGCACTTCCATGGGCGACGTACCGGAGAAAGAACATAAGAGGGAACAAAGCACAGCTGCTCGGGGCTGGACCAGAGCACTGGATGCTCCATTGGAATGCAGTGGTTTCCTGGAGACTTTTGCTGTTTCCAGCCATCCGTGACTGGGGCTTTTTCCAGGTCACGGGGTTTCACAGCCACCACCATCTTCTGTGGAGCAGCTGAGCCTCTTCTGGGGACTCCCTGGCCCTTTAGGGACCCCAGCATCACCCCACAGCGAGCTCCCTGCCCGAGCTGGGGGTTCGGTAAGAGTCACCCGTGTGCTCAGCATCTCTTTTTGCTGCTTTCCGTGGCTGGGCATGCAGGTGGCACTCAATTTTCACCTGCTGATGGGCTGCCAGCGGCATGAACTGGATTATTTTCCCACTTACACCAGCTACCTGACCCACTTACAGCCTCCCGACAGGCTGCAAATTTCCAGGGCAAGGTCAGCCTCTTCATCTGGGTTATTCAAGCACTCCCGACAAGAAGACAGGACTCCTGGGCACCGCCACGCTCTTCAACACGTTGGACGCTAATAAATAGCAATAACGCAGTCGGCATCGCCTCAGGGAGAGATGCCACCGAGGGGTGTGTGGGGCAGCCACTCCGTGACGTGGGGTTGGGCTAAAGCACCGATTTCGGGAAAAAAGGGGATTCTGCAGCTCTCCTGTGTGAGACAAGGAGCCAACTTTCTCCCTCTCCTTCTTCCTGGAAACAAAACTCACCCATCCCAGGAGCAGGTTATTTTCACCAGACCCACTTTTATTTCCCTCCCTGGGGATTTAGCACATGGGGACAGAAAAACTCGCCTTGCCCACGGTGCAGAGAGGGAGGCTGGGGGCTCCCCTCCCGCACCCATTCCTGGGGCTGATGCGCAGCTCTAGGCACATGGTCTCCCTCGCTGGAGCTGTGCACGAAGCCCAGCACATGTAGAGAAGCTTTGCCAGGGGAAACCCACGGTGCTCAGCCCTCCCTGCAGCCAAAACCAGCCACAGATCAAGGGGGTTTGCTCCCCACTTGCAAAGTGGGAGCAGGAGGAAGAGCGCAGGGTGGGTGTCACAGAGCAGAAAAGCCCCAACTCTGCTCCTCTCGTACAATCCCCACTGCAGGAAGGTATTTGGCCTCCCTTCTCCTCCCCTCCACGGGAGATAAATAAAGTTTCCGACAGCATTTCCCCTCGCCCCAAATTAGAGGCGAAGGCACGTCAATTCTCTTAAAGAACTGTGGCAAGTTCATCACCGAGCGCCACGAAAATTTGTCACGCTGCTCCCCGGGGCCCTGCTCCTGGCTTGTAGCATCCTCTAAGGCAAATGTTATTCTTTTCATAATACATGACAAGCCAGCTGGTAATCTTTCCAGAATATCCAAGCCAGATGTCACTATTTCCGTTGTACACAATGAGTTTGCAGTCACTGGATGAGGCTCTAACTGCCAGGAATAAACCTTACTGGAGCCGGCCCATAGCTTCTCAGATTTCTGCTTTTAAGTGCCCGGGCAAAAAAGGAGAGGGAGCCAAGTCCATCTTAGCAGAAACAGGAGGAATCGGTGCCAAATTGCTGGCTGGCAGCTCGAGGCAGCAGGTGGGTCTGGCCAGTCTATCCCTACCAAGGCCAGAGCTGAGCTGGGAAGAGCTGGGCTGGCAGCTGGGTCAGGGATGGGGAAGGAGGACGGCGGCGCGGGGAGCTGCAGAGCACAGCCTCGGCCAGCACGTTGTTTTCCTGAGAGGCCTCCAAGTCACCAAAAAAAAAAAAAAAAGAAAAGAATTCAAAAAGGGATTAACAAAAATTAATTATATGTATGCACACGCATCCATCATATCCCAAACCCGCTCCAAGAGCTGGATCTCAAAGTTAGGGGTTTCCAAGCTGCTTCTCTTTGATGCATCTAGAAAACGCGTTTGATTTCTGGGTGAAAAGAGCAGGATGATGCCAAGGGGAGGCAGCTCCGGGGGCTTTAATACTTCTCTTTCTCCCTGCCCAACTCCAGGCACCTCCCAGGGACCTGGGTCCCTGTAACACACCCGTACACAACCCCCCGGTGCACATATCCCCCGTTTAGGGGACTTTGGGCATCGCTGCGGGGACCATCCCGTCAGCTCCCGGCTGCCAACTCATCTCCCAGCCTTGTTATCGTGCAGGAATCCAGAAGCAGCTTGTCAGTGCCAGCAAGACACCCGCGCTCTGACATTAGAAGTTACCTACACAGCAGAGGATTTCTGATTGTTTTTCTTTTTTCTGCTTGTTGGTGCGTTGCAATTTTTTAAGCAGAAAAAAACCCAGAACAGATGCAAGTGCCTAACTGGGTGCTAATTGTTCCCATCACCACGTGCCCATGAGAAGTCCAAGCCCGGTGCTGGTAATAACTCACCACCCATCAAAGCGAACGGTATCAGGCTCTTGAATATTTCATGCAGAAAATGTCCGAGATGCAGAGATTACTCAAGACATGTTTTTCACAGGCAATTTACAGGGACCAAGGAAAAATGGCTTTAATAGACAGGAGCGTCGAGAGGCGGCTCGGAAACACGCCTCTCCCCCCCCTCCCGCGGAGCAGGGGATGTTCAAGAAGCTGCGACAACATGCAAAAGCTCAGCAAGACACGAAAAACCCGCGGGCCTGCTGGGCATCCTCCTCCCGACGCTCGCTCTGCCGGCTTGTCCTGCTGGAGAGGAACGCTTTCGAAGCCAGGAGATGCTGAGATAAAACAAAAAATTACCCTCAAACACCAAGAACAGCGGCCAGGTAATTCAAAGAGCCCTGCGGATCAGCTAAAGAAATGAGGGAAGCTGGAGCAAAACTCCGCTTTTCCGGATGACCCTCTAACAAAGCCAGTAAATAGTTCACAGGGGAAAAAAAAAAAAGATCAATGGAAACAGGAGAAGTTATCTGCCACCTCTGGAGACCAGAGGGTTTTCTTCCTGCTTTTAGGGGAAACCATCTCCCTGCGGCATCGTAGCATCTCCCTGTAGGAGGGGCACTGGTCCCCCATCCCAAAGCCACCCCTTGCCCAGGGAGATGGGGGCAGCAAGAAAGAAGCAAAAGCCAGAACGGACCAGGGGGAAGCAAAGGAGAAATCCTCAGATTAGAGTAAGCAGAGCTAAACCAGCAAGAGGAACAAAAAAAACCAAAAAAACAAAAAAAAAAACCATGGAGACAAACAGACAACAGACCAACTGCTTAGTTAGGAGCCGTTAATTAAGAAGTTTAGTTATCCGTATGTATTTTTAGGACACGGCATTTTGATTCATCACAGATAAGAGCAGTTGAAAGACTGTGGGGTTTTTTTATCCTCTTGCCTGTGCTCAAACCCTATCATTACCCGGTATGAGAAGGGAAGAATTAAACGCATGCATCATTTGATTTTAATTGAAGGACTGTTCTATTTCATTGAACTGCTAACTAAGCCGAACAGGAGATTGTGTTTACATAAGCAA